TATATATATATACGGTATATAGATTGTGTGTGTGTGTGTTTCAGTTTTATAGACTGAAATTTAATAACCAATTGTGACATTTTAAAGAGCTTTGCTAGATGATAAAAAAATGTCTCTCAGGCACCTGGAGCTTCAAAGGCAACAAAACTCGTATTCAGGGCTTGAAATACACCAGGCACTTGACAACYGTTGTTAATCAGATAATGAAAGTCTCAGATTTACACAAGCACTCTTGTGGAGAAACAGCAATAAATTCTTTTCAATGACAGCATACAAGGGCGGGGAGAGAGGAGAGGTGGGATTTGGTACCAGGCGCTTGCCTTCCCAAACAGAATTACACATCCAAGCAATGTCTGTGGTGAAACACTCCATCAGCCATTTCCCCTCAGAAGATTATTTTGAGGTAGTGTAAAGCCTGATGAATGAAATCGAGTTTAAGTTCCCTTTTTGTAATTGCTAGAAAAGATACATAAAAGCATAACTTTCTGAGAATTATGACACAACATGATGTGTCTCCATAGTCTGTGAATCCCCCAAATAAACACATTTTCTTGACACWTAAACTGTGAGCAGTGGGGAATTAAAAACACCCCACAGAATCCTCACTCCAGGACKAACTCCACTCGCCGTCCAAACATTAGTAACCTGACTCCAAAGTTTTAAAGATGACCTCTTGCTCCATTTGCCCTGCTCACCTCAATCTCCGACTGATCTGACATCGTAACAATACACAGGATCCTCTCTGGCACAGAGGCCCAACACGTGCACTCATAGGTCAGTGGGCATGTGATGGAGGAGAGTTGCCCTCTGACACTGACAGTATCTATAAGTTAGCTTTGGGTCAGTACTTCTGAGGTGGTCCGCAAAGATGGAACACAGTTTAATCAGATAGCCTCTTCAGGGGAATCACCTCAGTAACTCAAGACAGCCACTGTTATTCTTCTAGAAAACTGACTGACATAGAGAGACAAGAAAAGAAAAGTGTTAAAGTAGAAGAAAGTGTGTGAGACCACTATCTCCTTTACCCTTTTGTTTGTGTTCAGGGTTGCAGGGATCTATGCTCATCTTCAGCGGCCACTGGGTACATGGTATGGACCAGTGTTTCCCAAAGTTGGGGTTGGGATCCAAAGTGGGGTCCCGAAACATCAAGGTGGGGTCCTGTTTAGATTTTCTAAATTAATTACATTTTTGCCTTAGTTGTTACAAAGGAGTGAGGTTAGTGTATTTAAAATGGACAAATGTAGTATAAAAATATTGTTACTATGCCCATGTTTAGTTGACCTGATACAAATGTTTATCATCCAAAAATAGCTGGGGGCACAGGTCTCTGCTACTGTTATTTTGTGGGTCAAAAGCTGAAAAGTTTGGGAACCATTGCACTTTGGTTCCCAAAGTTGCTTGGGACCCAATAATGGGTCATGAAGCACCTTGGATAATCTCCAGAAATCAATTTAAAGGGTAATAAAATAATTGCTGATGTAATATTTTCCCTATCACTATTACAAAAACACAAAATAAGTATAAATAAGTATTTATATTTGTGTATAAGCTGTTTGGATTGTCAAAAAGCCTGTGTTTTTAGGGTTATTAATGAAGTTTGTGTACTCAGACCAGTAATATTTGGGGTCACAAGTTTTTGCCATGGATATTTTGTGGGTCAGAAGACAAAAAGTTTGGGAACCAGTGGTATGGACACACTACTGAATGAAGTGCTATTTAGGACTGGAGGGAAAATAATATCTTGTGTTTTTGTGAGCTGAACTAATTGATCTGGTTCCTGAAAAAGTCAATTTCTCATCACTACATATTTTAAATTCACTTTAGTAAAAAAATAATTGCCAAGTAAAACTTGTGATTAAAACATGTTATTGATATGGTTAAATGTAATAAAGTAAATGCTATGGTTAAATGTAATAAAATAAAAGGAAGATTAAAAAATTAATTCGCCTATAAGTATAAAATACATACTTTGCAAGATATTTGTCAAAAATTCAGTTTTTGATTGCCTTTTTATTTTGAAATTCTTTGATTGTGGAACAGAGGCGCCACCGAGGGGCCAATGGTCAACCCTAATCAAATGTGGAGCTACACTACAAAAGTTAGTGGTAATGTTCAGTTTGAAACATAAACATTTCTCAGAAGGAACAGAAGTTGAATAAAGAGAACACTAATAAGCGTACTGTCGCTTTAAGAACGTGGCCCGGAAGTGAACGTGGGTTAACCGGCGTCGCTGTGCCATCTCTTCCGCTCAGATCTCATCTTTGGTGGGAGCGTGGATTTTACCATCTGGGCTCACTAAATCATCAAAAATGAGCGTTCCAGCATTTATCGATATAACAGAAGAAGACCAGGTTTGTCATACGTTAAAAAAACATTTTCACATTCTGCGAAATTTGTCTAGGAAAAAAAGGTTATTAATCCAGATAATTTAGCGTATTAGCTCGCTAATGCTAACCCCTTACTAGCTGCTGACTCTACTGTCAGTCAACGATTTGCTGAATCCGTGCGATTAGATTCTGGAAACAAATATACCTTTAAAGATGTGTRTTAGTTGATTTATATAAGTATAGTTAAAATATCTGTTGTCAGTTTATAGTGAAAAATGTTGGTGGTCCGCTGTGTTAATTAAACATACAGCGCTAGAGAGTAGCAGTGAATGCTAACCTTCTAGCTAACTACAYAAACAAATGGATAAATCAGTAACAATTAAAGTCTTCCAAAAGACATTAGAATAAGCATGGTGAACATAATCTTTGCAACATTTTTATACAACTGAGGCTCRCTTTAAGCTAAGTTTATACAAAGTTTACAGTTTTGGTAGTAAACTGCAGTGAATTACTTGTTTTGATGACATGTAAACTTTTATCTCTACTATTTGGTTTCTAGATTTATTCATAATATATCACATATCGAACTTGCTGTCCTTGTCCGTGTACATTTGGTGAGCTGTTTGGGTTAAATTTAACCCTAATATGAATAATTTCACATTGCAGGCTTCAGAGCTGAGAGCCTACATCAAGTCCAAGGGGGCTGAAATCTCTGAGGAGAACTCTGAAGGTGGACTTCATGTTGATCTAGCTCAGATCATTGAGGCATGCGATGTCTGCCTCAAAGATGACGATAAAGGTAGGTGATAAAGGATGCACCTGCATTGTTCACAAAACCTAAAATTAGGACAGTCAYAGATAATAAAGCTATTGTTTGTTAACAGTGTTTCATTAGTAATCAAAACAAACTGGTGTAAATGATAACATTTAGTACGAGTCAATTCAAGTTCATCTAGTTAGAACTATATAAAAATTCTTAAGGTGGCATCTAAATTAAATTATTTGAAAACAAAAGTATTGCAATGTCACCTGTTTTTGTTRAAAGGATCACGAAACAAATTTCTAYGCGGCGTACTGAAACCACCCCTAGTTGAATGCAGTTTGTCATCCTTTGCACTCACCTGTCCATGTCTCTGCAGATGTTGAGAGTGTAATGAACAGCATTGTGTCTTTGCTGTTGATCCTGGAGACAGAGAAACAGGAGGCTCTCATCGAGAGTCTCTGTGAGAAACTGGTCAAGTCTCGTGAAGGAGAGAGACCGTCGCTCAGATTGCAGCTGTAAGTTTTCTCTTTAAGTCTTTCAAAGCTAACAATTTGACAAAATAAATCTGTTTATATTTGATTGATTATTTTAATATTGTGGTTTCAGGCTGAGTAATCTGTTCCATGGCATGGATGAGAACACTCCAGTAAGGTACACTGTCTTCTGCAGCCTCATCAAGGTGGCAGCTGCCTGTAATGCCATTTCCTTCATCCCCACCGACCTTGATCAGGTTATCATCAACTTTATTTAAGATTAAATATGCCTATATAATTTATATTATTGGATTGATCTGCAGAGACGTTTCCAACCAAAGCCAACCCGGTTTTCAAATTAGGCATATTTCATATATTTTTATGCTTCTAAGCAGGTGCGTAAATGGATCGTTGACTGGAACYTGAACACAGAGAAGAAGCACACACTTCTGAGGCTGGTGTATGAAGCATTGGTTGACTGCAAAAAAAGGTGACTGCACTGAAGATCTGAAGTTCATACTTCAATATGAACACATGCAAATGTAATTTCTGCATGAATATCTTATTGTCTATTAATGCACTCATTGATGCTGTATGGTTTTATTTCTCTCTGGAATACTGGTGTGGTGACAAATACAGAGTTTCTTATGCATACACATAGGCATGTTTTTAACCTTTCCCCGTAACTGTTTCTTTTACAGCGAGCCTGCAGCAAAAGTGATGGTTGAGCTGCTGGGAAGTTACACAGAAGACAATGCTTCACAAGCTCGTGTTGATGCCCACAGGTGAATTTGACAGATTGGTTCATTTGTTATTGCTTTTTGAATCAGTGCTCCATATTTTCCCAAAGACTTATGGGTGTTTCCTCTCATGTAGATGCATTGTTCGTGCCCTCAAAGATCCCAACACCTTCCTGTTTGACCACCTGCTCACTCTGAAACCGGTCCGCTTTTTGGAAGGAGAACTTATCCATGATGTGAGTGTTGGAAGAAGCTCTTCTATAAAAAATATAAGCAAGAATTAATTGGGTTTTGTCAGTTTTTAATTTTATTTATTTTTATTTTTTGTTAAAATGCCCTAACTCAGCATAATGAAAAATAGATCATTCTTGATATACAGTACGTATACGCACAAACACACGTCTTTATTTGATACCATAAAACATGACCAGACCGCTGACTTGGCTCTTTACTGTAGTTATTCTTAGCTGCACAGCCTCAATATCATTATCGTGTTTAAACAGATACCACTCGACCAACCATTTCCTCTCCTGAAATAGAAGCACAAACAGCAACATGCAAGGAATCGATATTGGATGTTAATATTGGTCCGGTTTTATTTATCGGACCGATACCGATATGCTTAAAGAAAATGAGCAACATAGGCCGATACCGATGTTAATGCTGATGTGTCATGCATCCCTAATTTTAAGTTCTACTTGATGACTTTCAGTTTGCCTGTTTTTAATAACTTTTCTTTCTTCTTCATTCTACCTTTTCAGCTGTTAACCATCTTTGTGAGTGCAAAACTAGCAGCCTATGTTAAGTTCTACCAGAACAACAAAGACTTTATTGATTCCCTTGGTAAGTAGCTTTGAGTTGTTACTTTTATCTCTACAAACACAAGTACAGAAACTTGGATACAAGTGAATGAATAAGACCATCGTTGGGTGCAGCTGTTACATGATGGATGCATTGCTTCCCTGTGTAACTGAGAGTCTCCTTGTCTGAGGAGTTGGTGTTTACTTGTGCTGTGTTGACACTGTACAAGAATGTTTATGTCAGCAGTATTTTTCTCACCACCTAAAAATGAGATTAAATTAAAACATGCAGTGTGGACTCTCAAAATAGACGATACAAAGAGCTGTTTGTGTTAACGGGTAGAATCCCTGACTGCTCCTAAATGTAGAAGTCATTATTACAGTGGGAAACTCCCTGAGCGCAGGGTAATTGACTGTGACTGTTCTGTGCTCACTGATCCCGTCGCATCGCTTTGCAGGCCTTTCTCATGAGCAAAACATGGCTAAGATGCGTCTGCTGACGTTCATGGGCATGGCAGTGGAATTCAAGGAGATCTCCTTTGACACCATCCAGCAGGAACTGCAGATCGGAGCTGATGACGTTGAGGCTTTTGTTATTGATGGTAGGTAAAAATACATCCAAATTTTTTAACTCTTCAAACGCACAACAAAGACGGTCACAAGAGAACCAGCAAAGAGAATAATGATTGAGCTGTATCTACAAATGTAACTTGTAACTACATGTTGCAAGTAGAAAACATTTTTATTAGCTCTGTACAGAGCAAAGTTTTCTCTGCTTATACCCATCTCAGGTGGACAGAATAAAACTGCTACATTTGATTTATTGCAAAAGGTGCTGATACCAGTGTACCAGAATCCTGCAAATTATAGTGAGAGGTCCTCCTRACCACATTTCTACACTGAACATTAGGCAATATATTTTAGCCAATAAAAGCTGAGGAGCAGCACACAGGAACAAAAGTACAGATTTGCTTCTGCCCTGGAGATGATTCTTGGCACATCAGTTCTCCTATTCTGTACAGACTACAAGCTCCCCCTACTGTTGCTGCATCTCATACAGGTTTAAACTTAAAGCCATTATCAGTCAGTCATTTTTATTTAATCAGGACAGCGTGCAATTAAAACAAATGTAGCTAATATACATCTGTAGTCCTAATA